AAAGAGAAATTTATGTTTTCAACTTTTCAAATGTTTTGAGTACTCAGGTTGACACAAAAAAAAAAAAAAAAAAAAAAAAAAGAGTACTCAGGTTGGCATGTAAAGATTCTTTGAAAAATGGTTTCTGTATTTTTTTCAGAATTGAAAAACTGTTTTTCTACGAGTTAAAGAAAGTAAGATTCAGCTTAGGGTGCGCTCCCGTCAGCCAATGGGCTGTGAGCCATGGAATTCGTCACCCCCTTTTTTTTTGGGTGTGTGCGGCACTCAGCCAATGAATGGGCTGGGTCCTCTGAAGGTGGTTGCTGTCAGGTCATTATGATATTTGCCAGTACACGCGGCTTTGTTTTTTTTTTGTTGGCCTGGATGTGGTGGCCCGTGGATAAAACCGATGGATAAGCAGTTGTGCTGGATGAGAGTGGAGTGTGCGACTACTCCCTGTGTGGCGGATGCCTTGTGTGGTGTTGTGTGTGTGTGTGCGTTATTGTGAGAGTTAAAGGACACTACAGCCATGCAGGGGTGGAGTGAATATCACGACCGCGGCATGGATCCACTTTTGTACACCATGTCATGGCTGTAGTGCGTAAGAGACTCGGCTCTTGAGGCTGAGGGCGCCGGTTCGAATCTGTGCATGCACGAGGAGGTCCTGTCGCTGATAGAGTACAGACTGATGAAGTACATACTTTTTGTGCAGATGGTATGCAGAGGTCGCTAGAACATGGAAAGATAGACCGCCATCGTTTTTTTCCCTTCTGCGTGTGGACAGTAGTGGAGCCAATCTTTTTCACACACACCTGCCGTAAACGGATCCCCCACACAACCTGCGGAATCAGACAATGTCATAGCGCTACAGCGAGGGCGCTGTGCGTACTATGCCATTAATGTATGTCTCCTTGCTTACAAATGTAATCCTTATACTGTTGCTGATTTCGCAGACGTCGTTCGCTGGATAGAAGAAGAGCGCCATGCCGTCTGCCCAGACGACGACAGCGCTGCACCTGGAGTGAACATAGAAGTCCTGGCTATGGCATTTATGGGTAGGCAACTGCAATTCCAGCCTGCTCCGCAAAACCACGAGCCAGGCATGGATCCAAATATTCGGGCATATATCTTATATCATCCAGGTCACTTCAGTGCTCTTACCTTTGCAGATAATTCATGGACCCTATGGGACAATGGCGGTAGGGTGCACACAGTGGGAAATATTAACTCTTTCTATCACCAAATGCTGGAGGGTCACTYAGTCTGGCTCATCCATCAGGAACAGTATGTCGATGAGCATTTGCAAGCACTGCACCCCTCGGAGAGCAATCCGGCTGATTCTACCACAAACAGTGAAAGGACCTCTCCACAGGATGATGGCTGTGCCCTCCCGTTGTGTCGTCGCACAGGTACAGTTCGGTTGGCATGTACACGACATAGCCTCTGCTCCGAACACTATGAAGGGATGGTCGCTGCTAGCCTCTCACACGAAAATTGTGATCACCAGTGCTGTGCTCATCCCCCCCACCCCCTGATTATAGCCTCTGCTTCGAACACCATGA